CACCGCTACAGCTCCTCCCTGTTTGTACTTAGGATTCAGCTGATAGGGACCGGGGACTTGTCTTTAAGGACAAGAAGGAAAAACAGGTGAAGATTATCTTTGCAAAGTCAGACTTGGTGGGAAGTGCATTCCCGTGGGTGGCACAGAACTAGAAAGAGAAAGGAGCAGGTTGTGTCCCAGGCCTCAGAAGGGCCCTGCCAGCTGGGCTGGGGCTCCTTGAATCGGCTGCACATGACCTCTGCCTTGGGGGATCCAGTTCGAAGTTGTTTCTTTGGCTCCATCCCTCTTGTTTCCTCAGGCCTTGGTTCTGGAATCTGGTGTAGCCAAGCTGTGGTTTCCAACAGCCCCGTGTGCAAGATTCCAGTGCACAGCGCAGCTAATGAGTTCAGGGGGGAGGTTGCCCAATCTCCTTGGCAGTCCTTTGAAGCTGTGCATGTTACTGGAAAGGCAAGCAAGCTTCAGTGGGAAGTCCAGGACCCGGCTGCACTGAGCAGGAGTGCTCTGCGCAGGGCAAAGTAGAGCCACCACTGCCAGTGCCAGGCCCAGCCTCACCTCCAGCAGAGGCCACCAGCTCAGGGCGGGAATGCCTCAGGAGGGTGCTGGGGCTAGACTTGATTTCACCATTTTAAATTTCGAGCCACAGTCCAGCCATGACACAATTGCAGTGTAAACCGGTGCTCCCTCTCCAATCATGTCATAATTTATTACAACTCTGCCAATATTTGTAAGTGGCACTATTGAAATTTTTGTCTACATTTTATTGGGACAGTAAAATTTTTGTCTACATTTTACTGCTTCTAAGGAACTGAGCATCTCCTTGCCTTGCAAGCCTCTACACTTCATCTACTAATGTTGCTATTGTTTAAATTATGGTTTTGAAAATTTCTTCAAGGAATTTCAGTGCCAGTTTGGGCAAGATTTTTAAATTGCTCAATTTTATCTTTTTTTTTTTTTTTTAATATGCCTTCATTGATTTTAGAGAGAGGAAGGGAGAGGGAGAGATAGAGATAGAAACATCAATGATGAGAGTCACTGATTGGCTGCTTCCTGC